TTTTTGGTCTTTTTGAGACAGGGTCTCCCTGTAGCCCCAGCTGTCCTGGAACTCACTATGTAGACCAGGCTGGCCTTGAACTCACAGAGATCCACCTGCCTCTGCCTCCCAAGTGCTGGGATTAAAGGCGTGCACCACCACGCCTGGCAGGAAGTAACTTTTTTTAAAAAAATCTAAATTTTAAATTATGTGCATGTGGTGGGGGTGCAGTATGCGCATGAGTGGGCACCTGCCTGCAGAGGTCAGAAGAGGATGTCAGATCCCCTGGAGCTGGAGTTATTGGCATTTGTAAGCTGTTTGATGTGGTAATGGTACCAAACTCAAGTCCTCTACAAGAGTAGCAAGTGCTCTTAACTGCTGAACCATTCCTCCAGCTCTATGAAATGAGTTCTTAAAAAAAAATTATTGACTGTTAAGAGCATTCAGTTCTACCTATTCGTCAGGAAATCTGTGTGGATGTCTCTTACCAGGAAGGTAGAGTAGCTGCGTTTGGTGGCATACACCTCCAATTCTAGCACTTGGGGAGGCTGAGGCAGGAGGATTACGAATTTGAGGCCAGCCTAGATTGCATGGAAAGACCATGTCTAAAAACCAAACATAAATCAGGAATGCAGACTCATTCCTCTGTCCTAGACTGAAATCTGCAGCTTCTCCACTGCCACCTGCACAGAGCCTTTTTCTCTCTCTTTTTGTCTGAGTTGCAGACTACAGGGCGCCATACCCCCCTCCAGGTTCTCCACCAACTAGCACAACTATTGTGCCATTGCCTCTTCTCCCCGATGCCACAGAAAATGTGCACAAAGGGTCTTTCCAGCTTTTTGTTTCCATGCAAGGGAGCATATCAAAGAGGGATGGAGGGAGAAAGCTCTGGGGAATTATATAAACTTTTCCAAAAACTCAAAAGAAGTCTAATCTTTGAGTCTCTTCCAGGATGTATGTAACAGCCTCCTTTTGCCAGAGCTTTCTCCCGGGCTCTCTTCTCTGTGACGTTTACAAAAGGCACTCAGAGCTTTTTCCAGGCACTCCAGTCTAGCAGAGGCACAGCAGCAAAATGCAGCCCAAGGAACTTCATGCTATTCATGAACTAATGCTAGGAACAACTCTCTCCATAAGGCAGGTTTCCCAAGCACAATCCCTACCTCCAGTACTGAGAGAACACTTTCCTATCTGGTCCCCAAGAGTCCTGACTGGAGGTGCAGAAGAGCCCATGGGAACATGGCAGGTAGCTTCCGGCCCAGACGGCCTATCTTACTCAGTAAATACATCATTTCAGCTGATACATAGTTTTCAAAATCTGCCTGGGAGAGGGAAGTGTTATGTAGCAATTTCCTCCAAGGTAAGACATTCCAACTCAGAGAGATGCTTGTTAAGATGCAGGATGTTTGGAAGAATGTTTCAACGGCTGCTGAGGGAGGGAGAACTCTTTCTCTCCCAGGACTAGCTCCCCGAGCAGTGACCTAATCCCAAATGAACAGCCTTAAACACAGGTACACATGAGCACCACTTAATGGACTCAATGCATTATAGACAGATAATTAGATAGATAGATAGATAGATAGATAGATAGATAGATAGATAGATAGATAGATGATAGATAGATAGACAGATAGATAGATAGATAGATAGATAGACGGATAGATGATAGATAGATGATAGATAAACTATATATACCATGTATATATTTATAAATGTATCTATGTATATGTAACAATAATGATGAAGAGAACAAAAAAATTGAGAGGGAGTTGGGAGGACACAGGAGTTGCTGGGAGACAGGG